GAGTTTTGTTAAAATATTATTTTATTATTATTTTACTTTATTTGTTTATTTTAAATATTTTAAAAGATTAAAAATTAAAGAGGGTGTACCATGGGTATTTTTGGTAGTTAAATATGGTGTACTTAGTTAATTTTACATTTTAATTTAAACATTAGGGTGTACTCAATTAATTTTAGGGTTCGTTTAGCAGCACTCTAATAATAATTGATGTAACAAGTACACACAGTTCTGTGTCATATATAATCAGTTATGGTGTGTTTACTAATCAGGAATTGAATTTCACATATGGAGGATTCCTGCGTTTACTTCACATCAAGAAATTAAAAAGTGAGTGGGGTCCACACAAGATTAGGAATTGAATTCTTGATTTTGGAGGAATAATTTTTGGGTGAGAGGTGATATTCTAATTCCTGAAGAACTAACCCTTTAGGAATTCATCTTTTTTACTCATTATATCCTCACACAATTTTAAAATTTCCAAATTTGCCATCTATTTTAACTCAACAACGAGGACATTTTAGTAATTAGCACCAGTCATACCCGAATTCCATATGATTTAGTAAACAACTTCAATAGGAATATGAGATCTAACTCTCCTTAATCCATATGGTTTAGCAAACAACTTCAATAAGAATCCGGAATCTAATTCTCCTCAATCTAATTCCTACTCAATTCAATTCATCCTCAATTTAATTCATTCTAATTCAATTACAGATTAGTAAACATGTTATTAATGTGATCTAATGTCGTTGGTTACATTACATATATGACTAGAAAATGTGATCTGTTTCTTTCTTGAAGCTTTGAGTGAATGGAGAAAATGATTACTAATTTATTATTGATCTCTTGACTTTCTTTGTTTGCAACAAATGTTGAACCTAGACCCGATTAATTTCCTCACCCACTTCAATGTGTCCATTTTCTAACCATATTAGCAAGTCATGTATGTAATGTAACCAACGACATTAGGGGCTCGTTTGGGACTGCTTCTCTAGGAAGTATTTTTGCTCATAACCGCTTCTAATAAAAGCGCTTTTATTATAAAAATCTTGAATTTTCATAAAAAATTAAAGTGTTTCCTGAAGAAGCACATAACAGGTGTTTCTCCAGGAAGGGCTTCTATGATCCAGAAGCGCTTCTAACTTTTCTGCAAAACACTGTCAGAAGCACTTTTAGTTATCAAAAAGCGCTTTTGGCCATTTCAGAAGCACTCCCAAACAGGCCCTAGATTACATTAATAACATATTTACTAATCCATTTCTTTCTAGAAGCTTTGAGTGAATGGAGAAAATGATTACTAATTTATTATCGATCTCTTGACTTTATTTGTTTGCAACAAATGTTGAACCTAGATTCGATTAATTCCTGCCCCACTTCAATGTGACTTGAGTTAAATCCACCTATGAAAAAAACATTGTTGAATGTCTTTTTGTGGACTGTGGGCCACAAGAGAAAGTGGAGATGGGAAGAACTTGGTGTTAACTTGGACTTTTTCTCTTCGTGGATTCTCTTCAAATAGTAGCCCATATATGTTTGAGTTGAGGAGCAAGTTGCAAGGTGCATGTGGCCCCAAATGCTGCTTTGTTACAAGAATGAACTGAAACTTTGCATCTACAGCTGACATTGACACTGGCCTTTCACTTTATTTTTTTCTTTTTTTTATTTTAAAATCAACATTTGGTATGAGTGCAAATGAGAATAACCAACTTCATGTTTTCTGTTTGTTTGACATGCTCAAACGAAAACGAACATTCTTTTACCACTTTGTTTTTACTTTAATTTATTGGTGATATTATATTTGATTACCATGAGCATCAGTGATAAACTTCATTAAAAGTTTTAGCTAAATATAGAATCATTGCTCAACAATCTCCTAGTGGTAAAAGCATATTACTTTATAAGACGGCAAGAGTTTGGATCTTGTTCTCCCCTTATTTGAATAAAAAAGAAAATGATTATCGTTCTCCCGTACATCCAAGTTTTGATTTTGAATCTCTCTCCCCAGTTAGCTCTCTTGTAACCAAAAAGGTGTCAGGCAGCTCAAGGAAAAACTTGCAATAAGGACAAGGAACCTCTAATCAGAAACAAAACATGAGCTAAACTACAAGGGTAGTAAGATGAATTTAGCTAACTCATGTCATCCTCTATTGAGCTGTTTGACCTAACTCGGTGTGATTCAGGTGCAGACCACATCGATTTACAGCCGAAGCATGCTACAAGATTGAAGTGTGCGATAGATTAACTGTTTTGAGAAGTGCTCAGGCAAACAGAAGATAACCAAATTTGGCAGTCGTCTGCCTACACATTGGCCACTAACCAATAGAAGGCCAACTATTTTTAACACATGAATCATGAACCAGCTTCTCCAGGTTGGAACTTCATCCTCTCCCACAAACAGATCAATGCAATGTGCAATGGGCCATACTTGCACAAACTAACAGCGACACCACTTGTGCTTTCCCTCTCACAACATCAGCATCCCATGTGATTTCAAGTCTCTATTATGACACTTGCACCGGGAATAATTATTGATATACAAACAGAATCACGAGTCACAGATGCATTATAAGAGCTATGCAAGATATTTGGAAATGACATGAAAATCTTCAACCTAGCAACAGTATTGATTGGAGTTGCAATTGAATTTGTCTTCTTGTTTTTAGAGTCTCAGCTTCCTAAAAGGAATAATGAATTATCACAAAAAGTCATAGAAGAATGGGCTTTATAGTCCTCTGCTATTCTAACACAGAGCTTTTAGCATTTGTGCATTATCAATATAAACCCAAAAATAAGTACAAACAAATGCTGCAAATTTAGAAGAACTGACATTATTATTCAAAAGAGAAAAACCTAATATAATGCTTTAATCAACAGAGACCCTTGAAACAATTAATCACAACTCACAAGACAGAGAAATTGACCAAGATTCAAGAATAAGCACTGAAGTTCAAACACCCATAAACCTTCATCCTAAAGGTCATTACAGATATCAGATGAACGATCAAGTTTCTTATTAAGAACAAAATATAAAAGGATCCTAATCCAAAAGCACTCATTCCTACAGGATACAGCCAAACTCTATGATCAACCCCAATATATAGTTGCACTCAACTATGCTGATCCAAAAGTCTGTTCAAGTCCCTGCAATTGCATAGCAAAGGGGCAGAGCTGTGTAAGAATTTTAAATCAAATTGGCAGTAACAAACCAAATTATAGGTTATTCCATGAAATCCAAGCATATCAAAACACTTGTTCTGCTTATTCCCCAACTCCATGCTTAAAATCCATATCCAGACTAATATTTGCACCAAAATGTGAGGATATCCTTCCAAATCAAAAGGTTAATAGTCAAACAGATAACAAAATCCCATTTGCAGCATAAGTTGAATGCAGTGATGCACTCGAACATAGCAAGTGTTTTAACATAAAATTAAAATAAAAGATTTAGTGCATGTGACAGATTGAAGATAAAACCATATAAGCAGCTTTTATATAAAAGCTTTCCATTTCCTTTTAATCAACAAAGAACATTTTTGTTCTATTATTGAATTTATGACTATGACAGAAGAAATTATAATTAGTTATCGAATATTTGCATGCCTACCCAAATTGCAGCAGTTTTTGTCAGAAACAATGATACCATAAGAATGTATCAGAAGCAGAAAAAACAAATACATATGTCCACCTAATGAGTCATTCCCACTCCCCACCTTCAGACTAGCAAACAAATTATGTAGAGAAAAACTAACAAAAGAAAAGAGTCCATAGGTGTTTCTTATTTAACATGGGGAAAAAAAAATTCAAAGCAATTATTGACTAAAAAGAACAAGTACTCAATGCAATCACTCAATTTTATAATAACCTGAAACAAGAGAGAAAAAGTATTTAAATTTGTTATCTAAGCACATTATTTGACCAAACGCCACTCTGTTTACTCAAATTCAAAATTGAAAAGCTTAAAATCTGTAACGTCCAAACAAGGAATGAAAGAGGACCTACAACAATGCATCATTCTCCTGCCTTTGCATGATTGGAAGTCTGTGCGCATCACCGGTCTTTTCCATTCCTCCCTATCAATCCCAATCCCAATCCCAATTCTTCTTAATAACCAATCTTAATATACTTACAAATCCTACCTAGTTTAAAAATCATTCTATCAATCAAACACTCTGTCTAGATTTAAATGAGCCAACACTACTTATTCTACTTTAACACTCTCCCGGGCCATCAGCGGAAGGATTGAAAACAAATCGGCAAAAAACATTTCTTTCAATTTTGTCATGTGTCCTAGAATCAGCAAGACTCACAAAGAGACTACTAGCGATCCTGACAAGTACGGCAGAAGGTACCGTGTGACAACTCGCAACAACCACGCGCATTGACAGCCAGGTGAGATGTGAGGCAAGTTGCAGCCGTCGCACTGTGCATTGGCAAAAGCGATTGTATGCAGCCCAGTTCTCCCAAGTTCCTAAAAGAAACAAAACAACGCCAGTAAAAATGAGAAGACTATTTGTTATACTCATACCATAAATAAGTAACCACTATTTTCAGATTCGCGAGGGCAAATGTCATAAAAAGAACTCTTTCATAATGTAAAGCAACCAGATATGAAATAAAAAGAAAAGGGTAAACTAAACAACCATAGAAATTTCATGATCCAGTTGATTGTTGCAAAGGGAAAAGAATAAGAGACGTCCTCCCAGAAAATGGTTGGCTACTTAATCCATTTTCTCTTCCCGCTTACTCCAAACAGTGAAAATGAACAGAAAGACAAGATTTTGCCTATAAATTTCTTTTCTTTTTCTAATGGTGAACCAAACATTTCGCTTGTTTCACTCTATTCTAGACCATGAAACCCCAAAATCACCAACAAAACCAAATCAATTACACGATTTTTCCAGTATATTTGTGAACAATAAATCACCAAATCAACAGATATCATCAGATAACAACGCATTGATTCAATTTCCTCCATTTTCTCAGCAACCAATCAGCAAATAACATAGAGGTGAAAAATAATCTCTTTTTTTCAAAGGAGAGACTGAAAGGGGACCTGGGAGAAGCGAATAAGAGGCGACGAGGAGTGGAGACAGTCGGCGGACGGAGACGACGGAGAGGTGGCGCCGAACGGAGCGACGAAACCCTAGCGGTAGACACCAATGACCGAGACAACGAACCAGCTGAACGCCAAGCCATTTTCTGAGTTACTGTTGCCGAGAGTGTGTGTGGCTTCACTGGCGAGGGCTTTGTGAGGGTTTTGTTTGGGTTTTGTTTTGTGGGGAATGGTGCTGCGCAGGTGCACGACAGCTGATGTGCATCAATCATTTTGACCGTCGGATTCTTAGCCATTCATTCATTATGTACCGCTTTTATTAATACGTTTTTTTTTCTTCTTTTTTTTCCTTAAAACTAATGTTTTCTGGTAGGGACATGTCAATTCGGATCAAATATTGAGGCTTACCAAATTTATACATATCAGTAATTCTGATTTTCTTTGTGTATGTAACTAATGTCATCCAGTTGTAAGAAGCTTTATAGTTATAGTTCAAGTAGTTAAAAGCAGTTATCCAAGCATTCAAGGTCTTGTGACCGAACGTTGAGCTGGGTTTTTGGCCAGAAACGGCTCCCAGATGTCTGCATTTTAACAAATTAGAACAATTTGGCTATACTGATTTTGTAATGACATATTTTCTGAACAAATAATTTATCTTTAGCTATAATTGTAGAATTTGTTGGTATTCCTTTCTTTTCTGTAGGCTGTGAGCTTTGTCCCATCATTATTGAATGCATGAACAAAACAACATAATAAAGACACTAAAAAATACAATTCCTTTTATTTTCCCAGAAGCATTGCCATTGAGCTAGAAAGAGCTAAGAATTCAATGACAGCTCACAAAAAAATCTTACAAATTTCTTCGAAGTGTTACTAATGGTAAGGTGCCTTGAATTGTTCTCTCATTTGCTACACTAAACTGACTTCCGAAAAATAAAAACCACAATAAATATCAAGACACCGATACTTAAGAAGAAACAAAGAAGGGACTTCGTTTCCACGTTTATTGGGAAGATAAATCAATATGATGAATTTGACCTTAAAACTCTGTATGCTGCTCTCAGAGACATGTTGTCCTCACACATTTTAACTGTCTGTTGAAAGTATATATCCTGCCAGATGATATGTTTGTTGTAACTGTACTTCCTCTATAATGTAATCTTTTAATAGAACTGTGGTCCTTGGACCAAAGACCAACTTCGTGAAGGTCTCCTTCCTTCCAGCATATGTTGACTGTCACCCTGCCACGAGCCTTCAGTCCTTTCACACAACCGTTTGCCCATTTATCCCGGGGAAGAGCGGGAAGTAAATACAGGTCCTTTATGGTGCTTTGGACAAGCATTTCTGCAACTGCTGCTGAAAAACTAGCACCAAAAGAGAGAGATTACTAGCATTGTCAAGCTAACAATCTTTGTTACTCACAAAAGTGTTTGGTCTATGGGGCATATTGAAAGTCTGCATTGGGACATATAAGAGGCAATAACATTTCAAGAAAATTCATTCAGCAATGGACGAACTTGACACAACAATGATATTTAGGTGCATCTTAACCCTTCCAACCTCCTTCAGTGTTCTTTTCCCTTTCTAATTGTTAAATAAACCACCATAATTAACAGACCTTTGGAAAAGAAAAGAAAATGTACTCGGAATGGAATATATGCAAGAAGTCAGGAAAAGAATTGGTCATCAATAACACATGTGGCTTACCCAAAGTTGGCATCAATCTGGAAAGGGGGATGTGCAGTGAACAAGTTACTGTATAGTCCTCCTTCAAAATCAGCTTCATGATCTGGATCCACCAAGTCAATCAAATGCTTGACCATACGATACGAGTGCTCACTGTTGTGAAGACGTGCCCACAATGCAGTCTTCCACATAGTTGACCATCCTGGACCCTCCTCTCCTGTTTTGAAGAACAAAAATTTAAGGGGCAAAGTACTTAGTGCTCAAGAAGATCATTCCAATATGTTCAGAAAACCATGTAGGGTTTCATTAGTATTCTATATTAGCTAGAACCAGGTAGGGTTTTCTACAGTAAACAAGAATCTTATGTAGAATTGTCACAATCAGATGAACTCTTGGGTAGGGTGATCTTGTAGGTCGGCGACATTAGTTTATAGCAGCACTAAAATTAGACTGTCACAACAGGCCAACACAAAGACTTCTGTGCTGGTTTGTTCTCATACTTCTCTTGGGTAGGTCGATCTTGAAGGAAGGAGACATTAGTTAGTCTATTATTGACTCTATAGCACCGAAACTTCTAAAGTTGTATATGTTATCATACTTCCCTTTAATGTTTACAATCAAAGAAGCATATAAATACTTAAATAGTCATGGCCCTTGGTTTCTAAGTGTGTTGCAGTGAATCATTTAAACCAAACCTCAGGGAGTATTCTGAAGGTTAAAGTCCTAATTTCAGTTTTACATAATCACCTTTCTTCAAACAATGTGTATATTATTGTAATAGTAAATGGTGAAAACTCCCTATTACCTTTTTATTCCTTCTAAATTCTAATGTGAGAATTTGGTTTCCACATGGTACATCAACTTTGAGTTACTTTTCATATCATTCAATTTTGCATCCAAATGCCCTACACCATGGTGATACAAAAATTATACGTTCAGTTATCAACTTATAATGTACCAACCTCTTTTATAGAGGGAATTTTCCACAGCTTTACAGAGATCTGGAGTTTTCTCAACGGTAATTGTGTGTCCCGGAAACAGGCCAAACAAGTGTGACACATGCCGATGGTGCACTTCTGGGTCCTCAAAATCTTGTGCCTGCAATATAAAATAGATACTTGTTAGTTTACAATTAATTGACAATTCTGTACAAGAACTTCATCACACATTATATAAGACATGGGAACAGATTCCTAAGAAATCGAATATAAGACCTCTGGCTTACCCATTCCATAATGGAACCATCTCTAGCAATTTTTGTGGGTAAAAGCCTAGGTTGAGCCTCACGAACTTTCTGAACAACAGCATCCTGAGTTCTTCCTAAAACCTGTTGAGAGAGAGAGAGAGAGAGAGAGAGAGAGAGAGAGAGAGAGAGAGAGAGAGAGAGAGAGAGAGAGAGAGAGAGAGAGAGAGAGAGAGAGAGAGAGAGAGAGAGAGAGAGAGAGAGAGAGAGAGAGAGAGAGAGAGAGAGAGAGAGAGAGAGAGAGAGAGAGAGAGAGAGAGAGAGAGAGAGAGAGAGAGAGAGAGAGAGAGAGAGAGAGAGAGAGAGAGAGAGAGAGAGAGAGAGAGAGAGAGAGAGAGAGAGAGAGAGAGAGAGAGAGAGAGAGAGAGAGAGAGAGAGAGAGAGAGAGAGAGAGAGAGAGAGAGAGAGAGAGAGAGAGAGAGAGAGAGAGAGAGAGAGAGAGAGAGAGAGAGAGAGAGAGAGAGAGAGAGAGAGAGAGAGAGAGAGAGAGAGAGAGAGAGAGAGAGAGAGAGAGAGAGAGAGAGAGAGAGAGAGAGAGAGAGAGAGAGAGAGAGAGAGAGAGAGAGAGAGAGAGAGAGAGAGAGAGAGAGAGAGAGAGAGAGAGAGAGAGAGAGAAAGAGAGAGAGAGAGAGAGACATACTCCCATGGAGGCTCAATATCCTTGTTCCATATACCTTGCAAGTTTGCCACTTGAGTTCCAACCCGTGAACAAGAAATAAGCAGATATCGACCATATTGGAATAGAAGTTCCACAAGGGAAGGATCTTCATCAGTTTTGAAGGATTTCACCCTGTCAGCAGTTGAAACTAAGGCATCATCACTTCCCTTTAAATTTAAACTGCTTATAGGGGTAAGTTTCTTTGGCTTCAAAGTTTTATCTCCTAAAATTTTCTTAGAGCTCTTAGAAAGCTGCAATGAGACACGATGAAAAAGATTCTGATAGTCATCCAAATGGTGAGCATAAAGATCAGAATATGAAAATTTTCTTATAGAGTTCAATGCATTGAGAGACTCTGAAGTTGGGTTCCTCTTAGAAGCAGAAGCCTTAGAAAATGGTCCTTCAAATGAAGATGAGGCCACCAGAAGCAAAACAGCCCAATCACACCCTTCAACCCTTAATTTCTTGTCATCCAGAACATGTATCACACCACTGCCACCACTAATCTGCAAATCAAGGACTGCGGAAAACTGAATCCCTTTCGGATTGTCATTCAAACTCAAGAATTTTGGTGAGATCCTTTTTCCAGGACAACTTCCTTCTATTATAATTTGGTTTTTACCATTTGCATGTGAATTATGATGTAACTTGCTGTCTAGAGAAACTGTAAATGTTAGGGACCCTGATTTGCTTCCAGAGATCTTCGTCACAATCACTTGATCAGGATTAGATGAAAAATGCTCCCTTGTATATTCTACATCACCCACTGAGTATTTTATACTTGCTGTTGCAGTATCCAGGTCTAGCTCTCTGCTGTAACTTTCTTCAGCATAGTTGAGGTGAGAGTCATCAAATTCTAGGTTGATGTCGCCCAATAGTTGGTAAACCTTCATCAAAAGAAGTAATTATTAGGACATTTATCCCGGATATCAGAAGCCGCCACATGCAATTTCTAGTACCATTGGTAACAATAAGCTTGCGTTAAAACAGCAATTAAGCACAAGCTCTGAATTATGAAATTAAAATTACATTTAATGTACAAAATGATAACAAAATTTCAAAACGGACGTCTACAAGATAGAATATTTTGTACTCTATGTCTCTGATGAAATTAAGATCCCGCTATCAACCATAATCAGCAAAAATTAGTACATGCACTGAATTGCAGACCACATTTTATAATATGAATATGCGCTTAACATCTAGTCATATTCACTACGATTCATTTTTATTGAGTAACAAAATGAAAAAGATTTAGTAAAGCTGATGAAGTTACATACATCAGAAGGATCTCCTGACAACTTGACGGCTGCTTCAGTAGCTTCAACATATTTACCACTGTCAACAAGTTTTCTAACTTCTGTGAGTGCCTCTGGAGCCTTTGGGTTGGTATAGTTTCCAGGAGTTCCTGTCCAGAGTGTGTCCTCTACAACAATTTAAACTTTAGGCAATGAGTTTTACTATAATTTTACAGTGTGCGTTTGTGTGTGTGTTTGAGAGACACTTAGAAATTGCATTCCAAGTTTTAATCACTTCAAGCATTCCAAGTATTCAAGTCCCAATTCAGGATCAGTCAGAAAATGCAATTGAACTTGAATATGACTTTGTTCTGTTTCCTATGTGATCTTGGTAACCCACCAAATAATATAAGAAAATAAAATAGCAAGAGAAAAAAAAGACCAAACCTTTAAAAACCAGAAACTCACACAACCAACCAAGCATTTCAAATCTTGAAGCAAACAGAACCCAAAACACAGAAAACCCAACAGCACAGAACTTATCATTAACACAATGCAAGAAAAGATTTGTACTTCACCATTGAGTTGGAGTTTTTCTGATGCCACACCACCCCACACCATGGCTCCAAGCCTCCCATTCCCGATTGGAATAGCATCAGTCCAATGCTTGGCAGGCCCAGAAAACGTAACCTTCAAAGGCTTAGAACTCTCCTCCTCCACTAAACTTGGGGCCCACAGGTCCTTCTCTGCAGGTTTCCTCACCAGAACCCACTCAGCATCCTCCATTACACACACACAAGAAAAAAGTCCAACAAGAAAGAAGAAGAAGAAGAAAAAGCTTAGGACTTTGTTTAGGCCTAGAGCTAGGATTTATTATCCGTGGGTGAAATGAAAGAGTGACAGAAGAAAGTGCAGAAGAAACAGTGGTGGGGTTGGGTTGGTGAGTAGCTTTGAATACACACGGCATGAGGTTTTTTTTTTAAGTAAACCAAAAAAAAAATGGTCCCGCGGCACGGCATTGTTTGTTTTCTACTCCTCTGAAAAACTTCCTTCCTTTTTTCTTTTCTTTTACCATGAGTCTCTGTGGGAATATTACTGATACTGACATGTGTAGAGAACATCGTTTATGTGTTGCTATCAATTAAAATGTATATGTTAGTAACATTATGCTAATGGAAATGTATTGAATCTACTACAATTGCTAATGTTAATGTTTAAACTTAAAATCATAGGCTATAGAAGACTTAAAACCAAACAAACACAACAACTAATTATTCTCGTAACTTGAGTTAGTTTGTGAATTAGACTAGTTGATTAAAACAACGTATTTTTCTTTTAACACTCATCTTTGATTTTTTTAAATATTTAAATAATATGATATTGTTAAAGAGGATAATTACCTTGAATGTTGGGTAATACTCTTAACTATTTAAATTACAAATCAATTGATTTTTTTTATTTTGACTAGCCTCTCTGCACGCGCTTCCGCGCCTGCGAGAGGCTTTTAAAAAAAATAAAACAAATTTATTTTAGAATTAAAAAAGATAATGGGTAGTTGTGTTCCATAAAAATAGGATTCATTATCTGATTTTTCTTTAAATTTTAATTTTTTAAATATGAAAAAGTGTGAATTTACCATATTATCCTCATTTAATTAGTAATTTCAATTCTTAATGTTTGCATTAATCAAGGGCATTTTTTGGTATTTTGAATGTTTCACCATTCTCTGCCTTTTGCTTTATATATATAGATTATAAATATATAAAAAAATTAATAGAAAAAGGTCAGGTAGGCCTAAAAGACTGTAGGTGCACGCGATATGCTACAGAGGTGACGATAACCACGAACGAGCGAACCCAGAAAGATTTGTGTTTCTTTTTTTCTCTTCTTCCCGATGTTTGGCGGTGAATATGTTAAATGCATGTGTCAGGTTGGCTCCATAAGAAAAAATAAAAAATTTGATTAGTGATTAGAGTATTAGACACATTGTTCGTGCGAGACCAGAAAACTAAATATCAATGTAATATCTTAGAATATTGAGGAATATTGTCAAATAAAATAATTTTCCTTCTGTCTTTTTTTCGTGCAGCTAATCGAGAAATGAACTGCTCAGAAAAGGAAGCTTCTTTTCTTTTATCTTTTCTTTTCTCTCTTCCATTGAAATCCATAACTTCATCTAAACAGAATCCAATATTTTAATAGTCGAGAACACAAGAGATTTACCATTAAAGCTATAAGCTTCTACAAAATATAAGATGGTTCATAAATGTTCAAGGCCATAACTGATATTCTCACATAACTTTACAATACGAGACTACCTGGGCATTTAAGCAAAAAATATGTCATGCAAACCAATTCTGTACATGCTCAGCATACAGTATGCAGTACAAAGGCATCATCATCCTCATCATCTGCTATGGATGGCTTGTCAAGAGGGGGCATAAGATCTGATTCATTTGCCATCTTGATTCTTTTCTTGAGAGCATCAAGCTCAGACTGCACAGTTGATAGTTGTGAAGTTAGCTCTGATTTTTCCCTACCCCATTCAGTCCTTTCACAATCCAGTTCCTGTTGGATTTCATTTAAGCTTTCTTGTAGTCGAATGCACTCATGACGGATAAGATTTTGCTCATCGGTCTCCCTATTGCCCGTTGGAGCTGGCTCATCCCACCAACGAAAGAATTCACATTGCTAGCAGTATTAAGAAAAAAATTAGTTAGGACAAAAAGTTTATCTGAACAATGTATTTTTTATTCTATGTTGAGAGAAAAACATACTTACTGCAGAAACACCCTTTGGACAATTATAGAATAACCTAAACGGGTTTTTTGGGGTTTGAGATAATCTCAGTTTTGCAGGAAGCCCACACAGGCATTTCAGCTCAGAATCTTCAGGGGTATGGCTCCTGTAAAATGTCATTCCTGTTGAATTCAAACATTCTTTGTGAGAAAATGTTAAGCAAAGGAAAATTTCTCATAAGAAGTTCCATCTAAGAGGATAGAGGTTGGGTTTTCTCATAGGCATTCATGTTGAGAATCAGTCACCATTTCCATGGTGCATACACAACATTGATGGATTCTTTCTAAATGCCAAAGCAAGAGCATCCTCATGATGTTATTTGAAACCACGAGTCTCATGCAAGGATTGTAAATGATATCTCATTTTTAAATTCCCAATAATAATATCTACCATTAAATCAAAACCAATACACATCCCTGGTTGTCCAGTACATTCAACTGGCAAATAAACAAGTAGAACTATATGGTGAACACCTACGAAGAAAAATTAAGAATACTTGAAGGCTTGAAGCAAAAAGTCATATGTTTACACTAATAAACTTGGAATTTCTTGTCAGCTATCTATTTTATTTGTTATGTTTGGAAAAAAGAAATGCAAGCAGAGTAGCAGTTCAACAAAATAGCATCCCTGATTTGGATGCTTTTCAGAGCAGCTACAAGTTCATGTAAGAAAAATTAACATAGATATGGTCAGTGCGCATTCTGAAGTGTCCGGATCACAGGCTAGCATAACCCAACTAGCATCTCAGTATGGACAGTGTCACCAAGAAGAAGGAAATCAAATGCCTCTATTAGAAAGAATTCTATCTTCTAGATAATCAGAAAATTCCTTAGCTTAAGTGTAGAATGGGTACTACTAAAGCAATTCATTCTAAGCTCTATGTGCAACTGTATGTTCTAAGCTCTTGTGCAGCATTACGTCATACTGTCATATTCATTCCAATACAAAACCAACCCAGCCTAGAACCACAGAAAATTGTTTTCAGCAAAAGATGCAGAGGCAAGTGCACCAGATGAGAGAGTTGAACAAATTTCAGTAGCTTTACCTCAACTGCAGGGATTTCCTCAACAAATGAGAAAATTTTACAACTTCTGGGCAAGCAATATAAGAAACTCTAAAAAGCTCAAAGGGAGCTGCTTTTCAGACAACAATTTGAATCGCAGAATTGCCAGATTTGATCACTTTATTTTGTCACTCACACTCCATATGTTTGAATGAACAAACTTAGAGCCTGGCTGCTAGAGTGACTGATCCACAGCCAGCATTGCACCGAAGTTTGGTACATGTACGGGTCTGATCCACAACCGAAATTTAGAAATAGTGAACTAATGAGTATGTTAAGCCTTATTAAGAACCAGTTTAAGCCTTATTTACCCATCATAAATTATGTTCAGCATTGTATTTTCAGTATGGATAAGCATAAAAAGTTAAGAACCATCTTAAACTTATGGGATTTTATTGTACTTGTGTGAACAAATATTGGGTTTTTACAGTGATTTATCAAGTGACTAAAGTTATAACTTACGAGTAACAAAAAAGATAAACATAGCAATTAGACTCCATAGACAGTAAAAAAAAAAGGGCGAAAATTGCAGCATAATCTTTGAAAGTTGAAAACTTGAAATCAATCTAACGGGGCAATGCAACTATACAAACATAAGAAAAAGGCCAACAGCAATCACAATTTGTTAAAGATGGAATTTTTCAGACACTGAGAAATAAAACCTCATCCAAAAAAACACACAAAACAAAAGATCACTGACCTGAAGGGGCTGATGTGAGATATGTATCAACCATCAGCTTCCAGGGAAAAAAATCCCATTAGCTAACAACTACAAGGCCTTGGGGCTGAACCTCATCAAGCTCACACAAATCACAATGGGGACCTTAAATTTAATGCGTAAACTTGCAGAAAGATGGGAACTTTTAAGGGTTCTGGTCTGAAAAGAAAATATCCAATTCTCTTTATTCTCGTCTACTTTAGTGACTCCTGTACTCTCTGTATTTGCTAATTTTACTTTATCCCACACATTCTTTTAAAAAGAAATGGGAAATTGAAAAAAAAAAAGGAGTTAAAGAAAAAGAAGACCTTCAAATGGGTGGTGGCGTCTCCTTGGATGCTGCAGAGAAGCTTAAAGAGATGGTAACTTGTGGCAGTGGTTGTTGGTGGGAAACATGCCCTGTAATCAGCTGGCCAAACCCATTGAGTGTAGCCAAAAGTGATGCAAGGGCCAGATCACCCAGAGCCAGGAGCAAACCCAAAACAGAATTATGAGCAAGGTGCTCATTTTGTTGTATAATATTTTATCTAAGCCTGCAGTGCAAGAGGTTGAGCCTTAAGTGGGAAGATAGCTTGTATATCTCTCTTTGATAGGATCCTAAGGGCTTTTTAGTCATTTGCAATCTAATAGAGAAGTTCCATCTAAGAGGATAGAGGTTGGGTTTTCTCATAGGCATTCATGTTGAGAATCAGTCACCATTTCCATGGTGCATACACAACATTGATGGATTCTTTCTAAATGCCAAAGCAAGAGCATCCTCATGATGTTATTTGAAACCACGAGTCTCATGCAAGGATTGTAAATGATATCTCATTTTTAAATTCCCAATAATAATATCTACCATTAAATCAAAACCAATACACATCCCTGGTTGTCCAGTACATTCAACTGGCAAATAAACAAGTAGAACTATATGGTGAACACCTACGAAGAAAAATTAAGAATACTTGAAGGCTTGAAGCAAAAAGTCATATGTTTACACTAATAAACTTGGAATTTCTTGTCAGCTATCTATTTTATTTGTTATGTTTGGAAAAAAGAAATGCAAGCAGAGTAGCAGTTCAACAAAATAGCATCCCTGATTTGGATGCTTTTCAGAGCAGCTACAAGTTCATGTAAGAAAAATTAACATAGATATGGTCAGTGCGCATTCTGAAGTGTCCGGATCACAGGCTAGCATAACCCAACTAGCATCTCAGTATGGACAGTGTCACCAAGAAGAAGGAAATCAAATGCCTCTATTAGAAAGAATTCTATCTTCTAGATAATCAGAAAATTCCTTAGCTTAAGTGTAGAATGGGTACTACTAAAGCAATTCATTCTAAGCTCTATGTGCAACTGTATGTTCTAAGCTCTTGTGCAGCATTACGTCATACTGTCATATTCATTCCAATACAAAACCAACCCAGCCTAGAACCACAGAAAATTGTTTTCAGCAAAAGATGCAGAGGCAAGTGCACCAGATGAGAGAGTTGAACAAATTTCAGTAGCTTTACCTCAACTGCAGGGATTTCCTCAACAAATGAGAAAATTTTACAACTTCTGGGCAAGCAATATAAGAAACTCTAAAAAGCTCAAAGGGAGCTGCTTTTCAGACAACAATTTGAATCGCAGAATTGCCAGATTTGATCACTTTATTTTGTCACTCACACTCCATATGTTTGAATGAACAAACTTAGAGCCTGGCTGCTAGAGTGACTGATCCACAGCCAGCATTGCACCGAAGTTTGGTACATGTACGGGTCTGATCCACAACCGAAATTTAGAAATAGTGAACTAATGAGTATGTTAAGCCTTATTAAGAACCAGTTTAAGCCTTATTTACCCATCATAAATTATGTTCAGCATTGTATTTTCAGTATGGATAAGCATAAAAAGTTAAGAACCATCTTAAACTTATGGGATTTTATTGTACTTGTGTGAACAAATATTGGGTTTTTACAGTGATTTATCAAGTGACTAAAGTTATAACTTACGAGTAACAAAAAAGATAAACATAGCAATTAGACTCCATAGACAGTAAAAAAAAAAGGGCGAAAATTGCAGCATAATCTTTGAAAGTTGAAAACTTGAAATCAATCTAACGGGGCAATGCAACTATACAAACATAAGAAAAAGGCCAACAGCAATCACAATTTGTTAAAGATGGAATTTTTCAGACACTGAGAAATAAAACCTCATCCAAAAAAACACACAAAACAAAAGATCACTGACCTGAAGGGGCTGATGTGAGATATGTATCAACCATCAGCTTCCAGGGAAAAAAATCCCATTAGCTAACAACTACAAGGCCTTGGGGCTGAACCTCATCAAGCTCACACAAATCACAATGGGGACCTTAAATTTAATGCGTAAACTTGCAGAAAGATGGGAACTTTTAAGGGTTCTGGTCTGAAAAGAAAATATCCAATTCTCTTTATTCTCGTCTACTTTAGTGACTCCTGTACTCTCTGTATTTGCTAATTTTACTTTATCCCACACATTCTTTTAAAAAGAAATGGGAAATTGAAAAAAAAAAAGGAGTTAAAGAAAAAGAAGACCTTCAAATGGGTGGTGGCGTCTCCTTGGATGCTGCAGAGAAGCTTAAAGAGATGGTAACTTGTGGCAGTGGTTGTTGGTGGGAAACATGCCCTGTAATCAGCTGGCGAAACCCATTGAGTGTAGCCAAAAGTGATGCAAGGGCCAGATCACCCAGAGCCAGGAGCAAACCCAAAACAGAATTATGAGCAAGGTGCTCATTTTGTTGTATAATATTTTATCTAAGCCTGCAGTGCAAGAGGTTGAGCCTTAAGTGGGAAGATAGCTTGTATATCTCTCTTTGATAGGATCCTAAGGGCTTTTTAGTCATTTGCAATCTAATAGACAGCTGTCATTGTATGACTATATTAAGTGGTTAATTAGTATTAGCAAGAATGTTGAATTGTATTGTGTTGGTTGAGTAATAGAGTTGTCCTCTGTTTTGATATAATGAGTTTAGGTTGAACGGGGTTTATCATTGGTATCAGCCAGGGGTCCTACACTTTCCTTCTCGTGCTTCAAAAAAACATGAACGACGCATTAACTTTGGCCATGGAAGCTAGCTTCGATCGGATGGACGCCTTCCTGGCTCAAATCTTGAAGTGTGTTAAGGCCTTTGACTTTAAGCCAAACTAGTATGAAATGAATTATGTATAATCAAACTACACAATGCTTTGCTATATATTATAAGTTAAAAAGAAAATTACACTTACTTTTATATATAGTGAGAAGCCCCCCCAAATCAAAATATAGAAGTTAAAAAAAAAACTACTATATAAATCTAACATAATTATATTGTTATTTTCTACTTATTCTAAACCCTAATCTTTGATCAAACACTCAATTTACCCATAATCAAAGGCAAATCAACCTCATCACACCACTCCACACACCTTGTCTCAAAATATGAACTGTTCACCTCATTAGGCCAATAGCTCAACCAAACTTTCCCTCCTATTCTCCACTTGAGCACACTCCCTTCCATCTCTCTGTTCAATCTCCACCCAACCGCATCCCCGTACTCATCCCCACTCAACACCAAACTCCCCGTTTTGGTAAACGGCCTATTTGCTCCAGTGTATCGCTTTCGCAAACCGTCACTTTGCTCCCCAATAGCCGGGTTCCACGTGGCCACCTCATGACCCGTCATGTTGTCGCACAGCACCGCATCGAATACGGCAGCGTTTCCCTCCGCGTCCTGGTCCCACCTCCAGTTCCTCTTCCTCATTCTCGTCGACACCCTCGCCGCGGTTTTCACTTTCGGAACCTTTGATTTTGCGAAACTGCCCTTCGTAATCCTCTGCGTTTTGACTTCTCTCTCTCCGTTATCAGTGGACCGCCCCAAACTCAACCCGTTCACGTAATTCGCCCCGACTTCTGGCCCGACCAAGACCCGGACTCTCGACGGGAAATACTTCTCCTCCGCGTAGTCCACGTCATCATTTTTGTTGAATCCGAGGTTCACCGCGTGGAAGCGTAGGTTGTCGACACGTGCAGTCACCTGAATAAACCCGTCGTAAAACCCAACCGAATATTCCACCTGAACAACCGCCTCCAGCTGCTGGTGCGCCAAGGCGTATTTTAGCACCGAGTCTCTGGTTTCCAAAGCCGGAAACTGATTTTTCTGGTTCAAGTTGACGGAGCGCGTGGTTCTCATCCCCATCACCGGCGCGTATGCCTTGAGCACCCAGAACCCGCAAGCTTCCGTCGCGTAAGAGAACCCCAAGTTCTGCGACGGCGATGACGTCAGCGTCTGCAAGCCTACACCCACCTCTCTTAAAATACACCACTTTGCTAACATGTACCCGACGGTGCGCATGAAGCAGAGCTCTACGTCCACGCCGACGGTGATCAGAAACGTCCGGAGAGCCGGCGCTTGCTTGCACAGCAAGGCTTCGAGGTTGGGAGCCAGCAAGGATTTGAAGTACAGAGAGCCGACTTCGGTCGGCGAGTCGCACGCGCAGAGCCAGAAGAGGCGAGTGACGAAGACGAGGTCAAAGAAGGTGGAGAAGGACTCGGGGGAGTGGGAGTCCATGATCCAGGAAAACGGGTCGGGTTTGAGAGTCTGGAGCTGGGAGCGCGGGCAGGTGCTATCGTGCGCGGTGGGGGAGCGGGATATGATTTCTCGGAGGAGCTGGAGCAACAAGGGGAGATAAGGTTTGTCTGAGGAGAGTGAACACGTGTCAGAAACCCAGATCGTCTTTTTAGGATGGTACTGGTTGTTGAAGCCGTGCAAGCATACTGAGAAAGTAACTAGAGTGTCGATGTTGGAGCCTGTGGTGCACTCGGCCCGGAGTTGGATCGACCGAGTTGGGTTGCTGTCGTAACTCGCTCCGGAGCTAGCGAGTTCAAAAGTATGTGATGAGTCTGACTCGGCCCACTCGACCGAGGTGGGGAGGTCGGATATCCATGACCAAATGTCAAGCATTGCTATTTGTGTGTGTGTGTGTGTTTTTTTTTTCTCTTTTGACACAAGCGATAATGAGAAAGGAGGGTTCTAATACAGGATCTCAGGAGTATCTGCTGTTGGGGTGGGAGACAGTGTGGAGAGGTGGATGTGGTGGTGGGTTGGGTTTTAAAGAGAGAATGAGTGATGCTGGAGTTGCCACCATGGAAGCAAACACCAACCAAGTATGAGGGAGGAGGGTTTTGGGCTTCACGTTAATTCGAGTGGTTTATTTGCGTTTGATTTTGAGGGTTTTGGATATTGGTTGAATGCATTAAATAATTTAGATGAACTTCGTTTTCTTTGCTTCTATTATTCTTTGTTTGAAAGTTCGGGTGGAAATTGTTTGCATGCAAACCAATATGTGTTGCAAACTGAGGACGTGGGGACGTGGAATCTTAGCGTAGTTTTTGGGGTGTGGCGGCATACACGTGTAATGGGAAGGACAAATTTGATGTCCCATTGTGAATCACTAAAATGACAAAAATAAAACAAAGGTTAAATGTTGAGAAAATGATTGATTTTATATTTGGGTGCATTTGAACCAGTTAGTTATGCCTCCTTACTACTTGCCTCCTTAACGATAATGAGATTTTTTTATTTTTTATTTTTGAATTACAATTTGACAAATATGCAAACCACACTTTCATCACTAATTGAAAATGAGTCTAAAGATAATGTGGTCCAGTCTAATTTAAACAGCTGATACTGTGTCACATTGTTGTTGACTGCAGACCCAGGTCTTGGTCTTGGTCTTGTTTCTACTTATTTAATATTCAATAATATTTGATCGTTTGATATATTCATTATATATAGTTGGGTAACTAACTAATTCGCCGCCTAAAAAAACTTGCCACTTAAACTTCATTAGCTACGCATGGTAGGAAAATATAAATTAATTTATAATTTTCAATATTTGGGGGTCCACAATACAGATTTTTCAATATTTTCTTTTATATGAAATGCTGAAGTTTGGGGAGAGTTACAGCAACTTCGAGGCAAAGTGTGACCCGCTGCTGAAGTAAATGCCCTTTGTCCTTTCTAACTTTTGACAAACAAAAATCATTCATCACATTTGATGAGTACGACAGATTAGTCTCCAGCACAGAATAGTATCCGACAATGGGACGTGTAATCCCTGCAGCATTGACAAAGTGGGAAAGTAAAGTTGATTGGCAGCATTATGTGCGTATGGCTTTTTTCATTGGGGAATGCTAGTAATCTTCTCTCTAACCTTCTCCTTTGGACCTTCTCACTTTCTCTAATGACATGTGTCATTTTCTTTACACTTAAAACAATGCCACTAATACATCAAAAACCTACTTTTTATTTTCCATATGTACCCTTATTTGATGTATTGCCTTTACTTTAATTTATTAATTTTTTTTTATAGCTTTCTTAATACTTTGTAAAAAATTATTATATTAATTTATTAAATATTAAAATAAAATAAAATGAAAAACCCATCTCAAGTCATCCCCACCTTCTTCCCCAAAGCCCAGCACCTCCATCTTCCCCACCATCTCCTTAGCGCCACCCATCTCCACCCCACCCTCTCCTCACAACCTCCCCATATTCTCTTCCTTCTCTCTCCCTCTTTTTCTCTCTTCCCCAATCTCTCTTCAAACAAAACCAAGCCCCTACAAGTTTTAGCTACGGTAAGAACACCCTCAAGGCCATGGCAAGCATTGGCCATTATATTAAATTTGGGTTTGAGGACCATCACCAAGCACCAACAACAACAGCCCAATCCAAATTTAAAAATCTCACCTTAAAGTTGCAAACTTTAATATGAGAAATAAACAAAATGATTTTTATGGATTTTGAAATTTTTTTTTTGGTGGGAGATGTCATGTTGTTTCGGGTGTGAAGGTCTGGCTCTCTCAAAATGATAAGAGGAAGGGTTGGATTTGGAGCTGCAAGTCTGATTATTCAAAGAGAGAAAAAGTTGTAAACAAAATTTGAATGGATTGAAGTAAACATTAAAGTCAATACATCAAATAAGGGTAAATATGGAAAACAAAAAGTAGGTTGTTTGATGCATTAGTGGCATTGTTTTAAGTGCAAAAAAAATGACACATGTCATGAGGAAAAGGGAGAAGGTCCAAAGGAGAAAGTTAGAGAGAAGGTTGCTAGCTTTCCACTGATTATATTACAAGATCTTAATAATAGATACAACCTTATAACACATCACAAGTTTTTAACTGGTTGGAGCATGTCAATCAACCTACCATGCTCACGTGGCAGGAAAGTAACCATTAAGTTTTTCTCGCTCATTTGCGGTCATGGTTGCCTTGGAATTTTCCCACCCTCTTGAGCAATGACATCCTCTTTTAAAAATCTGATTCATGCCCATCAATGCTTTATTTAATAGGGCATTGAAGTTGAAAGATTTAACATGTTCAGAGAGGGAAGTTAATGCTTCAAGCTCTTTCTTCCGTTATTAGTTTCCCGCTTTTTTTAGAAACACTTATATAAAACTGGGATAGTACTATTTAGTTATTCCTGAAATCACGTAATGCTATATGTGATAACATTTTCACGTGGCATATTGTGATTGGTCGGGATAGCAAAATAGTGCTATCTCCATTTCATACAAGTTTTTTTGTTTTTTTATTGTCTATTTTGAAAGTAGAAATTCTTATTTTCTTGTCAATCACAGTTTGACATGTGTTTAGAGAATTTTTTTTAGATATATTTTTAAATATATATCAAGCTGTAGTACAAATGCATCCTTCCAAGAAATCAAGGAAGTAAGGTCCTTTTTTGTATACCCAAAACCAAAAAAAAAAAAAAAAAAAATTTAGTGATGAGCAGATATTTGGGTGCATATAGTGCCCCATAAAAAAAGCAACTGGCCCATATCCGGCCCAATGTAATTTTCGGCAAGAAACAGAGGCCCGTTTCTTGAAACAACCAAAGCATCGTGGAAGGGACTTAGTTTTAGGCGGTGATCACCGGATGCTTTGGAACTGAGAAATGGAGAAAGCTTTGAGAATCTACGCAGAGGTTCTGAGATTGGTGAGGCGGTTGCCGGAGGACACGAGGCCTTACTACGCCAAGTACGCGCGCGAAAACTTCGTGAATTACAGAGAGGTCGAGGCCGGCGATGACCAAGCCCTCCACGAGCTCTTCCACAGGGCATACAAGCATTCGCTCTGGGTCCTCAACAAGGTCAACTTTCTCATTCTCTTTCTCATTACACGCACGTTTCTATTGGATTTGGACAATTGGGTATGTTTATTTGTGTTTCTGATTGAAACCCATTTGGGTTTTCTTGTGATTGCAGTACTCTGTGGATGAATCTGCGGCGGACAAGTTGAAGAAGATCTGCTCCGCTTAGTGCGTCTGCCAAGTGTTCGTCAAAATGCCCCAAAGGGTTCTTAGCCACTTGCTTCTTTTGCAAACGTGAGTGTTGTTTTGTTGATTATTTGACAGAGCCAAGGATTCGTACTCAATGATGTTTTAATTTTGTCTGTGAAAGAGATTGTAAACTAATTGAGTTTTGTAACAAAAGGATAATAATTTGGTTGGATCCCCGCTTCATTGATTTAATTTTTTAATGTAATCTGGACTTCGAAATTTTTCTTACTTTTCGTTTGATGAAGGACATTCTTGACAATGGGATGTGCTAAAAACTTATGCTAGGCTTGTCAGCAAGCAAAGGTGTCATATACATCACAGGAACCGAGCCACCTCAATTTCCATGTAGTTACCAAGATTTGCAAGCTGACATGCCTTTATGAAGCTTGTGAAAATATAAATCTCTATTTCAGTTATTTCCTCAATCTGAAGTTGGCACTGGAGAGATTTCTGGTCACTGCGTGAACATTATCTGCAAATGATTTATTGTCCTACAAGAACGAGCTCAAGCTCTATAAATTTGATATACATTGTTAGAGTAGTTGTCTAATATGATATCAAATCTCGTTTTCCACTTCTTTGTTGGTTTGTATATAGAAAATAGATAAATGAACGTTAAAAGTTGTCGAAACAAAATCATCTTTTCACAAGAACTTTGTGTACATAGTTGGCGTAGGAGGATCTGCCCGCAGCCAAGAGGCTATGCGTGAACAGAGTAATTTTGGGCTCAAATGGTGTATGATTGGGGGCATGATACCTTTCGGAAAAGAGAACGAAAAAGAGAACGACGAGACGAAGCAAAGTCATTGATTTGCCACGACATGAGGACAATTTTGGCGTTTAATACCGTTTAGTAGGTTTTAAACAGTTTTAGAGTTCTATATATATGTCTAATAGTTTTTTGAAAGATAAAAAAAAATTACAATCATCACTTAGAATATGATGATGTAGGTTGTGGGCACCCAAAATCTTGTACACCCCTCATTTCATTCCATATGTTCGTCTGAAGAAAATATAATCATATGGTCTGGTTTTGGGACCCCCCCAGTCAAAGTTGGTGACTTCCATACTTCCAGTCGTACCAAATGACAAGACGTTCGGCTCTCACGGGAATTGCAAGATGAACGTTAAAGTTAAAACAGAAATTAGTTCCTACAAAAAGAGGAAAATTCGATTCTGATTTTAGCGAAGGACTTTAAGGGTCGTTCGTTTTCTTCTAATAATGTGTTGGATTTTTCTGGTATTGGGATGCGTGGATGGACCAAAGAAGGGTGCATTTCTAACATGTTGTTGATTGATATGAGAGAAGGATCTTTGCATTTCTATCACCGACCAATTTAACATCTCACATTGTAAATAGGGTAGATAATCTCCAATGGAAATATGCTATATGAGATTTTAATTCTATATTCGATACCAAATTTAAGAGCCGAATGAGATGATATTAAAAGTTATTCCATTAATGGTGCCATTTTGAAAAGGAGATTATATAAGTTGACTATCAAATATGAGATAATAAATTAGATTATCTCAAATAGCATGATGCTAAATTGGTATATTATAGTTGAAAAGTGAAAAGTGCGCCAAAGTATAGGATACTTCATGTTACTTTATTAAACAGTTGAAATACTTGTTTAAATATAGATGACTCTTACGATTAGTCACGTAAAACGGGAGTGAATTCTAATCGTAGAAGCATGTCAGACTCACAATAGGGTCCAAATACATTAACAAACATTAATTCGTCACACACCCATATCTACATTAGGATCCACATGCATCAATCAAATACATTAGGATCCACATGCATCAATCAACAAGAATCAGTCATACTCCACACACAATTGACCCTTGCATCATCATTAAGTACATATGTGAGAACATGAACAAGTTAATTGAATAGAACATTAATGAATCTAAAATCCGTTACATTATGTTTATAGAGAGGACGAAAGGTGACGAAAGAGGAGAGCGTTTGAGTTTGGGGTTAGGCAACAACGCATTGGAGCTCGAAACCACGGTTTTCTCGGGCCAGGGGGTTTTGACCAAAGTCGCCGAAAACCAAAGCCGAGCCTTGGAAAGCCCAGCCACACCATCCTTTCTTCTCAGCCCACCCCACCCATCTTCTCTCTCTCTCTCTCTCTTCTACTGTAACGCCTCTAAACACCTTCACACTCTCAGATTGAGAAACAGAACAAAAACAGAGCACTCTCTTTCTTTTCTCCCTCTCTCTCTCTCTCTCTCTCTTATCAACAAGAAGCTTCCGTTGTTTTCTCCTAAAAACCCCTTCTTTCTAATCAAACCTTTTACTTTCTCTCTCTTTCTCTCTCTCTGAGACCCAAAAGCTTCAAATTTTTGGGTTTTGTTTGTGGGGTTGATATGGCGGAAAATGATGGTTTAGAGGGGGACCATTTGGCTGTCACAGAGGGGACTAGTTTCTCTCAGTTACTCTTCGCTGCTGATGAGGTTTGTGGTCTTGGCATGGACGACGAAACCTTTAACTACACCCATTCATCTGCTTATTCCACCCAGATTAAGCCACCCAAAATGCTCTGCTTCGGGAACTATGATCACTGCCATGGCGATGGTCTGGAAATTGGGTTTTCAGAGACTGCTAAGAAATCAGGGGTTACATGCAGCGATTCCTCCTCTGTTTCTTCAACCAGCAACATAAGCATCAACGCATTGCCCAAATCCAACAATGTCAGTGATCAACAAGTTCTTAATTCCTTTTTTAATTTTTAATTTAATTTGTTTTCTTTTACGATTTTGTGATGCTTTTTGGGCTTAATGGCAGAAAAGGATAAATGGGTTAGGCCAAGAGTCGGTGCAGTGTGCAAGCACCATCAGCACAACGACGATTGCAAGCCAGAGAACTTCCAAGAAGACGAAATCTGAGAATCCCACATCGACAGGCAACGCAAAGGTCAGAAATTTCAACAAGAAACCCATAAAAACTAATCTGCACCATTGCATGTCCCTCTGTCTCTCCCTCACTCACACTCTTTGCATGCTATGCTCTCTGTCCTTTCTGGCAAGATTTGACCAAATGGGTTTGAATTTTTCTGCATCATTATAGAGGAAAGAGAAGCTTGGAGAACGAATTGCAGCTCTGCAACAACTTGTATCACCCTTTGGCAAGGTCAAATTCCAAAACCCAACTTGACCCAGATAGTTTTTTTTCTTTGTTTTTGGTTGCAAAAATGTATCCGATTGAATAGAATTATAAAATTGCTATAGAAGTTTGACATTTTGGTAAATGTTTTCGGGAAATTGGAAATTGGTTTCTTGCTGCAGACAGATACTGCATCAGTGCTTCACGAAGCGATGGGATACATCAGGTTCCTGCACGACCAGGTTCAGGTTCTGTGCTCGCCTTACCTGCAACGCCTGCCTTCATTACCTGTAAGTCCCAACAAAACCCACACACACAACTAGAGAGACTTTCAAAGGGGCCAAGAATTACAGGAGGGATAACTTTTACGTGTTATTGTATTATTGGCCGGATAACAAAACAATGCTATTCCTGTTTGAGGAAAATTTTTCTGCACACACAATACTATCTCTGTCAGATTTTCTTCTTTCTTCTTCCATCTACGTCCACACTGTGACGTGTCATTGGGTCCCAGCCTCCATGTGGGTCCCAAACAGATGTGACTTCACTGACCCCATGAGTGAAAAAAAGAAAAAAAAAATCAGAACCTTCTCCTGGTCAATAGTCATAGTCAATTAGTCAAAACCAGGACGGTGTGCCTATACCAAAACTGGTATTTCCCTGCAGACGGGGTTAGATCAGTTGGCTTATGGCGGTGAGTCCGTCTCCTTACACACAAGTTTGAGTCTCAGTTCCTGCAAATTAGATTAATTTAGAGTAATGTAGACTATAGCTTGTATTAGAAAAAACCGGGATTTTCCCAAATTTTCAAGTTTCTTTTTTAATTTTTTATAATTTCACTGTGGTTTTCACTTGAGTGTGTGAAATTGGGTTTGAAAATTGGAAGGATGGAGAGATGGAGGAAGCAAGAAAAGACCTGAGGAGCAGAGGACTGTGCCTGGCCCCTGTGGAGTACACAATGCACGTGGCAAACAACAATGGTGCTGATTTTTGGTCACCAGCCATGGCCAACAACAACAATAATGTTTCATCTTCAATCAAGTAAATGGAAATGGCTTTTGTACATGGTCGCCTAGTGCCTGCTCGTTTTGGTCATTTGAGAAGCCTATAAATTTGACATGACGACAGCTATTTTTGAGGAAAACCATGAAAAGGGTAAAAGAGAATACAGAGGAAGAAAAGCGAAGCAGAGGAATTGAAAATCACATGGAATCTGGCTGGTTCTGCTTTTAGGGTTAGAGAGGAAAGTTAGTAGCTGTAGCTGTGAAAAAGGGTTTTTGTCTTCTCTTTTTTTCATCGTTCTTTTTGGTAATTCTGAAATGGAGAAAAAGTGAAAAAGTGAGAAAAGGAAAGAAGGAATACATGTGGGTTTTGGATGGGATTATATTAGCATGGCTTACATCTGTAAATTTCCTTGGGTTAACCAATTACCAATTCCATCTTCAGAATGAGCCTACAACCATCTTGTGCAGTTTTCTTTTTTGCAGTTCTTGCATTTCAGAGATAGATTGTACTGAATTTTTGTGCATTGGCCTGGATCTTACTCATGTAGGAGTTAATTTTTTGTTCTCTCTAGTTTTAAAGGACAAATAATGAGGTGAGTTTATTATATAGAATCATATAACTCAATTTTAACGAGAAAAAAACACGTTTAACTAGATCACACTGCAACGTGATGTTACAAATTCACTTATATTGTAGCATGTATATGTTTATTAATACTAGACTCTTATGTCATGACATATCAATTTTGTCATCCACTAATGCACATCATGCACATATCAATTTTGTCCTTCAATGTACCATTCATTTGTAAATAGTGGGCCCATATAGGGTTGCTAGGCCCAAGTTCTTATGTAGCCTTCTTTGGGTATTTTGGGCCTTGGGCTCCTACGCTACCAAATGAAAAAAAAAAACCAAACCGGACCTGACCGTTAAAAACCCCGTCACCGGCGAATGGCGCCGATACCAGCAAGGCCGGTCAATCCTTCACACATAAATCGGGTTTTCAATTTGCCGCTTCATTTGAAAAAACGTTTGCACAGAAACGTATAACAGCTTCCTGAACACTCTTTCTGCATAGAAATGAGTTTGAATTCGTCTCGCTCTGCGGGATCGTCTGGCCAACGATCGAAACGAAGCTTCAATTCCAACTCTTCGAACCACTCCGCTAACAGTGACTCTAAGAAGAAGACGACCAACCAGAAAACCCTAGGCGCATCTTGGGGCGCCAATTCTCACTCTTCCTCTCGCTCCTCCTTCAAGAAATCCCCATTCTCCGATTTCGGCAGGTAATCTTTCACGAATTCTTAATTAGTGTTTGATCAAAACTATGGAAATTGGGAATTGGATGAGAAGAACAATAAGGCCTAGTTTTGTGTCTTTTTTTTTTCTTCACATTTTGAATCTGTGTCTGTTCTTTGTCAAATTGAGTGCAGTTACATGGTAGAGAAGAACAGAAAACTCCATAATCAGTTTGATAGTGAAGCTTCGAGTTCTTCGCATAATGGTTTAAATACCGGGAAGAATATTTTTCGCGGGGTGTCTATATTTGTGGATGGTTACACGGTTCCTTCCAGTCAGGTTTGTTTGATTTCTGATGTTCACCTCTATTTGACTGTTGAATCAATTGCCCGTAACATTAAGGTTGGCTAAAACTTAGCAGTGGAGAATGAATAATATGAGGCTCCTTTTCTGTTGATTTTCCTCAATGATTCTTAGCACCAAAGGGAGAGGAGTTGTTTCATGTGGGTTTTCTTGGTGTTGTTGATGATAAGCTGTTTCAGGAACTGCGAGGCTACATGCTGAACTATGGTGGAAGATATGAGAATTACTTTTCGAGACATCGTGTTACGAATATCATTTGCAGTAATCTTCCTGACAGTAAAGTAAAAAATTTGAGGTTCATACTTTTTCCTTACTTTCAGATCAATAAAATCATGAAAATCAATTTCCTTTTTTGTTTTTCTCCATACCTTTACTCTCCAATAAGTTTGATTTATAGTTCTTGATCCTAATACAGGTCTTTCAGTGGAGGGCTCCCAGTGGTGAAACCCTCCTGGGTTTTAGATTCAATTTCTGCTAACAAACTCTTGAGTTGTAAGTTTGCGGGATTTGTTCTCTTCTTTCTCTCTCTTGTTCTGTCTTCTTTTTCTTGAAGTTTTTATTTGGTCTTCTTTTAACAATGAGATTTAGGAGTCAGCTAAGCATTACTACAAAATACCAACTAATTGGGGTTGTATCTTGATGCACCGCGCAGTTATATTATTATTAAATGTATCCGAAAGTAAAGTGTGAGATTGGATTAGGGGTATTTGCTTGTGGGAATACTTTGTGTCGGAGCTCCTATCATGCTTGTTCACCCCCATTATTATTGGTCGTACTTTGATACTTGTTTTTTGGTTTTTGAAGAATGGCATGAAGAATCACATGTATCTTATTTGTAAGGGATTTTAATTTTCTCACTGCAGGGGTTCCTTACCAACTTGACCAGCTTGCTTGTAACCAACCGAGGCTGTCAGCCTTCTTTGCTCCGAAAATAATCCCAGACTCTGGCGATGCTTTGAGAGATGCAGCTAATCAAGTAAAATACGAAAATGAGGATACATCTTTGGTGGAAGCCAGATTGGAAGATGCTGACGAATCTGAAGCGTGCAGGTCCACTGAACACAGATGGCAAATTAGTGGAGAATCTGATAACGTGATGTTTGAGAAAAACAATGAAGAATCTGGTCAGGAGCTACATATTAGTAGTGTAAAAGATTGTGAAATGAGAATAGTAGAAATGACTGCTTCGGCTGCAGAAGATGATGGCAGTGTAAAAGATGAGCTTCAATATAGTACCCACCAAACATCTGCATCAGCTAGCAGCTGCCGCTTGCCGACCTCTTCAAATGCTGGGTCTAATCAAAGTCATTCAACTCTTGGGGATCCCAATTTTGTGGAAAACTATTTCAAGGTACTGAACTAAAAACTAATTGTGTGCTCTCCTTTTTTCATCTTAATTGCTGCTGAACGAAATTCTCAATTCGACTTGATTAGTTTTTCTAAAGCAATGCCTTCAATTTTTTTTTCTTACATTGTTGTTGCTGAGAAGGGTAAATACTTTTCTATTGATACCATGACTTATTGGCATACTCCTTGCATTTCTTTTCTAGAAATTTAGATTTTATCTGCATGAGCGAACCTTTTTTGTTGTTGCTGAGAAGGGTAAATACTTTTCTATTGATACCATGACTTATTGGCATACTCCTTGCATTTCTTTTCTAGAAATTTAGATTTTATCAGCATGAGCGAACCTTTTCGAAACTGGTTAGGAATGGGCGCCACTATCCCAGCCCGGATCCAGCCAGGTTCTATTGATCATGTCCCCTTCCCAACAGTTGTACCTTGTTTTGGGGCATCTAAACCAATCACCCTCAAGGAGTTACCAATTGAAACTTTAAAACTATCCTTTTGAAGGGAATCAAGGAAGTTGCGTATGATGGGTGTTTCAGGCTTTGTGATTGAGATGATACTAACGTATTTGCTCATACCGTTTGAGAACCTTCCGATGTTGAGTTATATCTGTCATATGGTTCTAGTTGATGTTGTCATATTTGTGAATGATTAGCATTTGGCTACTGTTTTGCTGTACTAATTATTAAGATACTTAGCTGCATTCTTTCTTAATATCCTGTCGGAATCTTTGCTTTCTGCAGAGCTCAAGGCTGCACTTCATAGGAACATGGAGAAATCGGTATCGTAAGCGCTTTCCCAGATCTTCTAAAGGGTTTAAGAGCACAGAGCCTAATCTTAGTGCTTCTGCTAGTTCCACTGCCATTATACATATTGACATGGTACCCTTCAAATCCAAGGCTGTTAAACCTGAATTGTGATTGCTGTGTTCTTATACTAGTCTGGTAATTACAGGGTTTAGCTTAGTTTGATATGTCCTAGACACTGAACTAGCAGGGGTCATGGTTAGTTTAAAAATACAGGGTCCCTGTGATTTCATTTAAGCACAAGGGCGGTTAATTATGGATTCATTAGAGTTTTAAAATTAATTGATTTTGGAATAATGTGCAACATGAATACCTTAGACATGATGAAGTTTTCTGAATAACTGAGAGTTTGAGTGAGATAATGCCAATATGCTCTTGTAGGACTGTTTTTTCGTGTCAGTGGTCATCAGGAAACGTTCTGAGTTGAAGGATAGGCCTGTAGCTGTATGCCATTCTGATAGTCCGAAGGGAACTGCTGAAATTTCATCTGCGAACTACCCTGCTCGAGATTATGGTTGGTTTTGGTGACAAGTCTTAGTAGCAGTGTTTTCTTTTTTCAATTTTATTTTGTCTTGGAAGCTTATATTCTGTATATAAAAGTTTTATTTCTAACATTCAGGAGTGAAGGCTGGGATGTTTGTTAGAAATGCCAAGGCTCTTTGTCCACACCTTGTCATTATTCCATATGATTTTGAAGCTTATGAGGAGGTAGGTTTCTGGAGCATCTCATTATTATACCTTGTATATTCTTTTACAGGGATAACAAAAATTTTGTCCTTTGTTTCCTGTATTTTGCCATGTTGAGGAAATTTTATGAGCTATATGATCTGCTGTGCAGGTAGCTGATCAGTTCTATGACATCTTGCATAAGCACTGCAACAAAGTACAAGTATGCTTCTGGAAGTTTGTTATTTAAGTACTTCAAGTTTTTAGTTGCTTTCTTGTTAATATTGAAGTTGTTTAATTTAGGCAGTAAGCTGTGATGAAGCATTTTTAGATGTCACAGACGTCGAAGGGGTAGATCCTGAGGTGTTAGCTTCAACAGTAAGAAAAGAGATCTTTGAGACAACAGGATGCACTGCAAGTGCTGGCATAGCCAGAAATATGCTCATGGCTCGTCTTGCCACTAGAATGGCTAAACCAGATGGTCAATGCTACATTTCTCCTGAAAAGGTATGATCTCTTTTGTGTTCTTTTGCATTGTCCTCTCTTGCTCAAATTTTGAACCAATGTAGACTTTTTTTCTTTGAATGTAATATGGATACTGTTGAAGAATATAAAGTCCCAAATCGGAAACTTGACAAATAAAAATACAACATATAATTAATGGTGCTTATACATGCAGAAAAGGTGCTATTATCTTTTAGCCATAAATACTTCAAATGAAATTTTGAATGTATAGTACTTGGAATTCTGTTTTGTTTTAAACTCTCTTCGCATTTCATTACACTTCAATAAACTGGGAAAACGTGATACAAGGCATGGATGTTTTGTATAAGTGAGGTTTCATTTTTAAGATCACCAGGGGATCCTTGGTTGACCTTTTTCACTAGAAATTTATCTTCTTGTTATTTCCCTTTGGAAAAATTTTGTGTCTCCATTTGATTTGTTACCCATTCATGTCTTGGCATGCTTGTGCTGTTCTGTCTCATTTGATCATTATCTCCTGATTGCTTTTGAGTACCTAGTGATTCTT